GCTGTGACATATTTTATGCATCACAAAGAATGATCAAACATTTCTCTGGAACCTTTCTGTCATGGAATGTGGCCCCATGTCCCATGTATGCCTTTACTTTGGCCTATAATACACCTAAATACTAAATTAAACATTTGTTATCAATCGGTAATTATTCTGTAACCAGGCTGCATTTAGGAACAGAGTAAAATATTTATTTTGTGTTATATTTAAAATTTATTGGATTTTAGTATATGATAATGATTGGAATATATTTAAGATAAATAGTGCACATACTCAGTAATAAAAATGCCATGGTAGGCAACTAATTAATTTTAAATGGACCATATGCTTATATTTTGGAAAATAAAATGGACTACAGCTTGGATGTACGTGGATTTTGGAATTTAATGTTTTAAAGATTCTTACTTATAAAATTATGTTGATATATTTGACACAAAGCCTCTTAGCAATTCAACTATCCTGAGTTCTTCGTTATGTTAAGTATTTTTAAAGCAAGATTCAAACACAGATTTGACATCTAATGCAATATATATTTTAGAGTAAGAATAGTGCTCTTTGCTGGTCACAGAGTTGGTTCTCCACACAGACTTCTAGTGTCATTTGAGAGATCTAAGGTATCCAGTAAGATGGAATGTAAAAGTGACAGTTGCCTTGCCTCTGTGGAAGGGAAGTGGGAAGCTAGGAGCATACAATAAGTCTTCATAACAATGATGGTTATTTAGCAACTAGTTCAAAACCTGAATGAAAGGCAAGCCATAACAACACATGGCTTTCTTGACAGGGGAAAGAAATCTGTTCTGCATATTAACTGTGTTTTAAAGTAAACTTCTCTTATGCAAGTTGGGTTTAGTCATAATTGGAAGGGGGCAGACATCAATATTTATAGCCATTGAGCATCAGTTATGAGGGCAATATATCACTCTTACAGTAATAGAGGAATTTGATCCGGGCAGAACTCAGGAGGAGACCTCTCATTGTTTCACCAAGCAAAGCTTGTGGGTTTGCTTTTCCATTTTGAGATTTTTGGTTCCAGGAACTCAAATGCTTTTGACTTTGTGTCTCACTGACATGATTGGAGCACTCCAAGAGATCTGTTAGGAAGACCTGTGTTGCTGAAAGAATAGAAAGCAATAGGAATTGACTTGGCCCACAACTTGCCCATTAAAAACCTAGATATTACTTTGGAAAGCACTATAATAAAAAATAGCATAATAACACTAAACAGAAAATATTACCAAACTGTGCTCTTATGGAGAAATTAGATAAGATTCAGTCATAGATTCACATCTATGCAGGATAATCAAGAAGGGGTTTTTATCAGTTGTAATGGCTTACACACTCTTCAAACGGTGGCAAGTGTTAGACTTTTATTTTTTTGTCTTTTATATATTCCAGTGTCTATATACCTTTTTCTGCCATATATACCCCAAAAGGTGGGGACTGAGTTTCCTTTTCTTACAATACCTTTTGTACCTTGCACAGGTTAAGTAGTTGCCAGTCAGACACCATGTTCATCTGCAAATTTCTATTTCTTTCTTCACTCTAGAGTGTTTCTTCTGTTCATCCTTACATACCTTATTTTGGCAAACAATCTGTAGACAAAACTCTCTCTTTTTTTTCCTCAGCAGTAGCACTGGGAAGGCATCATTTTTAAGTGGCATGAATCATGAGCTTCATTTCTCTTTGAGACACCTAAAGAAAAGAGAAGGTGCTTTGATTAGTGAGGTTTAGAAAAGGGAAGTAGCATTTGAAGGGAAAAAATAGAAAGTGGACAGAAAAAAAGATAAAAAAAGGATAAAAAATTGTATTTTCTGATTTTTTCTTTTTATAATCTTCCTTTAAAATACTGCTCAATAATAACACTTTTCCTATTGCAGTAATGAAGTGCATTATTTGCCAAAGTGACCAAAAAATTCTCTTTATGGATAGAGGAAAAAACCAAAGAACTTTCTTAGGAAATTTCCAGAGTGGGAAGTTATAATTAAATTCTAAGATCCTTTTTCTATGTTACCTAAGAGCAGAAGAATTGAGAACTATCCCGACCTACTTAATAGAACCTTTCAAGTCCAATAAGAAGAAAGCAGACAATATCCCAAGAAAGAAAAATGCTCTTCCTATACCATTGTCAAGGTTAGATTCAAACCACTGAGATTTTTATTACTTTCTATGAGTTTCTTTGCTTCTGTGTGGAAAAGGAGAGCAGACAATGCTTACAACACTTGAGCTACTTTCAGAATTCAGTGAAGGCAGCCTAATCTTAGAAGCACATTATATAGCACAGTAACTTTGGGAAGAAGACCTTAGTTAATGGATGAACTAAAGTCATGTATTTAAAGAAATACAAAATATTCAAATCTTACCAAAGCCATAAGTTATTTTCAATTTAGACCTTTCTGTAACAAGCTTTGATTAGTTATTTTTTTAGTTTTTTGTTGTTTTGTTGGTTTTTTTTAATAGGTTTGGGGTCCTGGTTTGGATTTTACACTTAGCAGCCCCTCTTACAATCAGCAAGGAAAAATTCTCTACAGAGAACGTATGGAGAATTTCAGGGTAGACACCTGTTTTCATTTATTTCTAAACTGTTGGTCTACACTTGTCAAACCTAATATAGATTACATGGTGCATGAGAAATAAAAAATCATGCTCAGGTAATTTTTAAAAACTGAACTAAATTCTCCTCTCCTCTCCTCTCCTCTCCTCTCCTCTCCTCTCCTCTCCTCTCCTCTCCTCTCCTCTCCTCTCCTCTCCTCTCCCTTTACTCATATTTACTTAAGTTTTTCAAGGGCAAATAGCCCTCAAAGCATTTCTAGTGCATCGCAGTTCTGACTTGCCATATATTTATTTATGACCTTTATCAACAACAGATGAGCAATTGTACATAAATTGCATGGTGATCATGTGGCATGGGTAATTATCCACTAGAGATTGGGAAAGGAATATCAGACAACTTTTCATCTAAAACAGAATTAGAAAACAGGTTTATAGTGGTATACCAAGACAAAGTTGTAAATGTACTTTGGTTAAAATATATACCTGCAGTACTATCTTAATTAATGGAGAATCCTAGGGTTCAGTTAATTTAACAATCAAATACATAGAGGTTTTTTGCACAGAAAATATATACTAATATTTCTATATTTCATTAATATAGGATCCATATTTCAGCTGGAAAATCTCTCACAGAAGCTGAGCAATCAGCCTCTCTGGGTATGGTATAGTAATGTACTAGCTTGCCTGTATGAGGTCTTATTATAGAGATGTCAGTTTTAGTTTGAAACATAAACATATTTTTATTTATACATTAGTGCTTATAGTGATCAATGACCATCTGTGCAGTATATTAGAATTTGGTTTTGATCAGTAGAAAGCAATTATTCATAAAACTCAAAACAGAAGGCAAAGTTGTGAAAGAAAGGAGAAGAATTATGTCCTTCTTACAGGGAAGGTAATTTTAATATAGACGAGATTGGCCCAAGTCCTGCAGTTTGGATTGATAGATTATCTAGCAGAACTATCATTTCAATAATCTCAATGACAGTGTAGCAGTGGATACTTGGTACAATATTATAAATTAAATTTACTGCAAATGTCATTGAAGAGAATATGGAAAGAGATCTGTCATTTGTATTTGTAGAAGTTAAGATAGGGAAAAATTTAAGATTCTTTGACAAAACATAACAAAAATTATCTACATGATATAGTTATGCTACCAGTTGTCTAAAAGAATTCTTTCATCACTACTTTGCTCATTAGGATTCTTGAATTATCCTAATATTTATTTGATCAGAGAGGGATTATATCCTTTTAAACACAGATATATTCTTTATTAAATTTCTGGATTTAAGAATATCCAACATCCATTTTTCAGAAGCACTTTTTTTCAGAAAGTATGAAATGCCTCTGTCTAATTACAGTCTACTTATGCAACTGTAAGCTAACTGTGAATTGGAAAATAAATATTCACCTCCATAGAGAGTTATATGTTGGCCTGACAGTGATGTTTGCAGCATATACACCATGTTGGTGGTATAACAGTTCTGGAATACAGGGGACTAAGGAACAATAATAAAAGTATTCTTTCAGTTTACAGTTTTTGTAGCCTTTCTTTGCCATCAAAAGGTCATAAATAATGTAATCTAAAAGCTTTAAGTAAAATTTGCAAAAGACTTGAATTTGCAGGCACCTGAAAATTGTTTGCAACACATTGAAGCTAATTCTCTTTGAAGTTAGAATTTATAAGTTGAGATGAACTTCCTTCCCTAAGGGAATTTATTGGGAATTATCTTTGAAAGCAGAAATCTGCCATTAATATAAAGTGCAATTAATGCAAAAAAAGCCGACTTCTTGTGTTTTGTAGTGTTGTGATTTGTTTGGTTTGGGTCTTTTTTTTAAGGGATGCTGAAATCCAACAAATGGACATAAAAATAAAATATATTTCAATTTAACCTTCATTATGTCATATCTTTATCCGCAAAAAATATTTCTGCATATTTTTAGATTAATCAGCAAGCTGGAAAATATAAGAGATCCAATTAATATTAATTATGCTAGTTTTAACTTATAATTGAAATGAAAAATGGAATTTTTCTAACCAATGTCCAACACAAAATGTATTCCTATAGAGAGGATATCAGAAGGGTCCCTATAGACCTCAGTTCTATTTTAAGCCTGCTACTGGCTTACTTTGAAACTCTTGACAAACCACTTAACATTTTTTTGCATAATTTTCTCCACCTAAATAATGACAAGTTTCATAAGGTACTTTGGAGGCATATACTTCCACAAGGCATAAATGAGCATTGTTGAGTGCATAGTCATTATTTGTAATATAAATAACTTATAAAGTTATGAAAAAATGCTCAACATCTAGATTACTATGAGATTGTTGGTACTGATCTGCCTAATTTCTAACTATTCTGTACCCTTCATAATAAACACTTGCATGGCTGAAAATATGTCCTCTCCTGACTCTTAAGACAAAGAAAATAAGAACAAAATTGCACATAACTGTATTTTTCCTTATTTCTGTCTTTTTATTCCCATTTTCCTCCTACTTTCTTCAATGTTGCCAGCAGGTCAAAATCCTTTCCCGCTACTAAGCTGTGGTGAGACCACACATGTACTGCTGAGCCTAGTTCTGGGGTTCTCAGATCAAGAGAGATATGGATATACCAAAGAGAGCCCAACAAAGGACCGCAAAAATGATCCAGGCACGAGAGAATCCCTCAGAGGTAAACCTGAGAGAGCTGAGCCTGTTCAGTTTGGAAAAGAGGGTACACAGAAGAGATCTCATCAAATGTGTATAAATACCTACAGGTGTGATGAGGGGCAATGGCAAAGAGGGCAGAACAAGGACCAGAGCCAGTGGTCAAAAACTGAGACAGGAAGCTTCATTTGAAAATCAGAAAACATTGGTTTTCCATGACAGTGACCAAGCACTGGCACATTCAGGTGTCACTGGTCACTCAGAGAGCTTGTAGTGTCTATTCTTGATGATATTCAAAAATCACATGGATGTGTTCTTTGGTAGTGTGTTCTAGGTAATCTTGCTTGAGCAGGGATTTGGGACAAGAACACTCCTAGAGGTCCTTTCCAACAACAACCATCCTATGATTCTGGGATTTCAGATATTTCAGTAAATTGCCATTCAAACACTTCAGCATTTACATTTTTTTCTGAGGTATTCCCACTACACTAAAAGCACATTTCCCCAACTATTTAATATTCTAAGAATTTGATTACACTTATATAACAGTGACACTTACTAAAGACATATATTGTGCTGTCTGTAATTCATCAAGGAAAGATAGATCAAAAGAATTTCTCATAATTCCAGAATATGCCTGCACTTGCAATGTGAACTGAGTGTGTTTATTGCGTGTATAGTAATTAAGCTGTTGTGGAAAATACCATACCAATTATTTCAAACAATCCAAAAGGAATGTATAACATGAAATGAATCTGCTTCTGCTGTAACATATTAAATAATTAAGAAAAAAAATAAACAATGGAAGCAGAAAGGTGCTACTGTCACATTGAGAAAATCAGATATTTTGATTGATTCTATCTATCTATCTATCTACCTATCTATGTTCTGTTGAATATCATGTTTCTCTTTTTCTCTTACAGTTATCCTTTCCTGGTGGACAAGAAATTGGTAAGACTTTCCTTGTCACCAATGGGTGCAGTCTAGTTCCATTTGTCTAGAAAATTGAAACTAGTGTGTCAAAAGGGGATAGAATCTGTCACGACCACAGGGATGTAGAGGATGATAATTCAAAACAGCTGGCAGTGACTGCCATCTTTAAGCCAAAGCTCATATTTACCACTGAGAAAATATAGACTATTACTTCTACACAGGGTTCTTTGTCCTCACATTTCTTTGGAACTATTCCGTAATTCTAATACTTTTGCAAATATATTTGACAATTATTTTAATTTACAACACAGTATTTATACAATTGCAGTAATAATCAGACTTGCTATCCTTTAGGGAATCTACTATCAAGGAAAACATTAAAAAGTAAAAAATTTCTGGATGCCCCTAGGATGAACACATTATTTGAAATACCCCTCATTTTAAGACTATTGAGTACATATGACTGAACAATTATGTCATACCCTTGTCTGCTGACATAGCCAAAGCAACATTCAAACACATAGAAAAAGCCTTTAGCACTTTAGCCTGTACAAAGCACAGCTCAATGCCATATAAGGAGTTTTGTACAAACTCTTATTTATATCACTGTTCGCAATTGTTGATTTTTTTTCTTAGTTATTAGAGCAAAAATATGCTATGCTGATTATAGAAAGAATTTGCTTTGTATAAGTTGTTAGGGGGGTTTTTTTGACACATTTCAGTATGGTTCATCAAAGCATGAAATGACCATGATTTATTGCATAGAGCAATTTCCAGCTGAGACAAAGTTATTGGAACTTCTACTGGCCCAGCTGGAAGGAGGGAATTTTCTTGGAGGACATTGTGGAGTAAATAAGTACAGACTCTAAGTGTCCTACTTTTAGTTACAACCACAGTAATATGCAGAACGTATGTGCATACTAAATCTAATCACCAGTACAGACATGGCTAATGAGTTACACTTCCTGTAATATTCAACCTCCATATGGTAGGTACAATATTTATCACGCCATATGCTTGATACCATGGACAAGAGTACATTCTGTAAACATGATTATGACACCTTTTCATTGATTCAAGAAGTGTCATTCAAACAGAAACTGTTTCAAGCTTCTGCCAAGATGGAATAGCTGAGAGGAAGTCAGTAAAGTATTACCAGAAGTTTCCCCAGCAGGAATGTTTTTCTCCAAGGAGACCTCAGTATCAAAATAAAGAACAACTCATCACGGCTAAAATACCTCACATGATTTCACAATGGTGAATATTATCATTTTTTCTTGGAGATTTTATTGTCAGATTAATATTTCTCTATTACACCTGCTATTCTCAGTAGATGTCTATAAACTGTAACAAAAGTACTGATATCTAACCCATATGGAGGTACTTATGTGCAGGCATCATCTGGAACTGAATCAAACTTTTCATGGGGATTCAGTGGCTTAAACACAAGTTCCTGGTGCCATTAGCAAGTCCAAAAGTCTCCAAGTCATCTGCATGTAGCTGTCACATGACACACAGGATCTGCAGAAGGCTTTACCCTTCTTCAACAAATTTTTAACTTGCCTGATCAGGCAAGCAAATTTTGTCCTGACTGTTTTATACAGCTGAGATTACAAGAGTTCTTGGTTGTCGCAAATCTATGAAAATAATTCTGAACTACTGCATTTATGTTTTCTACCCTGACTGCATGACAATCTGGTCTCCTATTTTTTTTTTCCAAAATGCTAGTAGTGATATATAGTTTAGCATATAACTTCTTATCTAAACACTGACACAATGTTGGTTTTGTAAATATCATTCAGATCATACCTAAATATCTGCAAAAAATATTCTGTGTAGATTACTTATACATCAAACATTTTTCCCATATTAAAAAACATTTTAAATGCTGAAAGGGCCATTATTTCTTCCATAAATTTTGGAAAACATTAGTTTGTTTTTTCATTTACAAAAAGACTAAGATCTGTCTTCAGAGATCATTATGAAACTGAATACAATTACAAAAAATAAGGAAATATTGAAAATATAAATGAGCTTTTGAAAAATAAACCAGATTCTTTTCAGTAGGAGTAATCATAAGAACAAGAATTCACACATAAAAAGTAGTTATTGCTTAGTTCATGAATATTATGCCTATTAGAAAGGGCAAAAATCATTAAGAAAGAAAATGAGTTTCTAAAAATATATGTAGTTATCAGAAAAAAGGGTGTTTCAAACAAAAAAATTAAAATTAAAATTAAAATTAAAATTAAAATTAAAATCACTGCTGGTTTTAAAAATATGTCATGTATAAAATAACATTTTATTTCATTTGTTATCCAACCATCCTCTCAATGACATAATATGAAAGCCTTTAGTAGGCACTTAAAAAAAAAATCTCTATTTTTCATTCCTTACATATCCAGAGAAGCACAATTCAATTTTTGCTACCAAAAATCTACAGCTGACACACACATGTCCAATACACAAGCCCTTCCTCCCTTGTAAATTTTTGAATTATACCTAAAGGAGCTTGTTGCAGTTATGCACATTCCTCTAAGTATCAGCATTCTTTGCACATAAATTGTCCTTCAATTTCATCTTTTAGTAAAAAATTGACAATAGAAATGTTTTAATTGGTAATTTGTGATATTTTTTATTCTTTGTTTCCTAGATGTTTATCATAGGAAATAGCTCTGGAAGCAAGTAACCATTTTTCAAGGAAGAAATTACTTACCTCAACAAGGATTATAATAAAGCTTTTTTTCTTGTTTGGAGGATGAGACAATTGGGGATTTTTGTTGTTGTTGTTGAAAAGAAAATAGACCAAGCCAAACCAAGGCAAAACATGGTAAGCTAGAAGAAACGTGACTTTGAAAACTAATTTATCCAAATTTATGAAGAGGTTTTTTAAGTATTGTCATTAGATTTTAGGTACATTGTCGCAGACATCTTTTTGTGAAAATCTCTTCTTAGGATTTTCTCTCTTCTGAGAAGCTGAGGCCTCAAAAACAAAATGTAAACAATGGTTATCTGCTGCTGTGGAATGCATCAGGTGTGTCTGTGATTGGGCCATTTTGAATGTTTACAATTAATGGCCAACCACAGACCAGATAACTTGGACTCTCTGTCTGAGCCAGCTGCCTTTGTTATCATTCTTTTTTATTCTATTCTTAGCTAGCCTTCTGAGGAAACCTCTTCTTCTATTTCTTTTTAGTATAGTTATAATGTAATATATATATATATATAAAATAAAATAAAAAATCAAGCCTTCTGAACATGGAGTCAACATTCTCATCTCTTGCCTCATCCAAGAACCCCTGTGAACACTGTCACAGTACATTAACACAGATAGCAAGGACTTGGGACTTGCTTCAGATGGTCTCAGTCCCAGTGGCTACTGTAAATATGTTTTAATTGCTAGAAAGTAGAATACCAGGTAGAGTCACACTGGAGGGTGACTTCAGAAACAGCTATGGAAAAATGGGTTTGACTTTCAATGTTACCTTTGGTAAATTAGGACCTGTTTATTCACATTCAACTTGCTGGAAATCAGCAGTAGGATCAGGTAGTTTCACTCAGCAGGCAATGCACAGGAGGGTCTTCATTGGCCATCTTGAGATTTCCATGTCTCACCCATCAGAGAGAGAATCATGATAAGTAAAAAGATGCAAAATTCTTAGTGGGTGAAAGTAAGCTGATTTAAAGGCTGCCAATAAATAATCAGAAATTGAAGAATGATATTTAAACTGAAAATGATTAAAAATGAGTGAAGAAAGGTAATATAAAAGGGAACTAAAATAATTAAGTATTAAGGAAGATGGAAAAAAACCCATGAAATAAGGTATAAAATATAGCAGAAAAGAGGCTAAACTGGAAATAAAAAGCATTCTATAGTTCTTAAGGGGAAATAATCATAGAATGCTAATCTAAAACTCCAGAGATGTTTGGAAAACCTTGAGAAACTATAAATCAAAGAATGAATGGAAGATGGAAAACAGGAAAAGTGGTAGAGGTAAGTTTGGTTTTGTTTCATGTTCCTGTTGAAATTTCACACTTTTTTCCCAATGAGATTTAGTACACGGGATTTGACTTAATTTTTTTTTTTTTTTAAGACATGAAAAGTATTGGAATTGTAATTTTTTTGCATGCTCTGATAGAAACCAGTGTGTATATAAGTTAGTGAAAAAAATGACAAAAAGTCAAAATGACAGCAACAACAAAACCCAACAACGAAACTAATTATGAGAATGACATAAGTAGACAATAATGAAGGGAATACTTCAACACTTTAGTATAGCTTTTAAGGCTATTTAATTGGTTTCAGTGATAAGGCAATGGTTTTAGTGCAGTGGCCAAATTTCTTATTATGTGTTACATTAACTAGTCATATGGAGTAAGTTAAGAATGAAGTAGTAAATTTGCTTTTGTTGGTTTAATCCAGACCTTTAACTTCACTGTTTTGCATTTAATAAAATACATTATCAAATAGAAGCGTGACATCTCCTTATGAAAAATGTTTTATCTACATAAAGGCAAATTACAGAGCAGGTGGTGGATTTAGAAGAACCTGCATCAACTGTCATTCCATACCATGGAAAGAAATATTCTCATTGTTGATTAGAGAATATCACAAAGAGTCAAATCCAAAGCTAAATGAATCATTCCTCCTAGAATTCATAATTACTTATCCGGCAAAGGATTTCATTATAGTGCATCTGGGGTGGGATGAAGCCCTGTGATAGAGAAAAAATGAACACATTTTAAATCTGATTATATGTGAATAATTGAAAATTATATGTACCTTCAAAAATGTATTCTTACTAGAAAATTTGTGTAACAACTTCAATATTTTATCCCGTTGATGAAGGTAAGAAGGTAAACTCATGACTGCTAAACAAAATCCTCTGGCAAAATATTTCAAGTATACAATACAAATACACCTGAAATTCTATAAGGTGGGTGCCCCACAATAGTTACCTATCAAGCTGCACTGACTCCAAGGAAATCACAATAATTTTTTCTCCAACTCAGCTATCTGAATTATAATCAGCATAGAAGTTCTAAGGCTTTGCAGTTTGAACAGTACCAGAGTCTGACAACGCATTGTAAAATAAAGCTTTATTGGGACAGCAGAAAAGACAATCATGCTCATCAGGTAACTTTCACAATCCCCGCTAGCAAACACAGGATCATAACTGATTCCTAGTCCATGCTGGAGTGCCAGGGACACTTGGCCACAACAACCAACCACAAAAATATCTTTGGAATCTGAGGAAGAGTTGCAGCACCCCTTGGTTCCACCATCCCTTGGTTCCACCAATGGGAGTGAGTTTTGGGAGAGCTGTACATGACGTGAGTAACGTGGGTGACATCCTGCCTACAGTCCCTACCGTGGTCAAGAGCACGGTGTCATCAGGCTGTCCTATGCAGCCAATAGTAGTCAAGAGGCATGCCATTAGAGTCTTAAAAAAAAGTGTATATTTGGTAATTATAATACATAGATCAGCTTGTGTTCAAGATGAGCTTTAAATTATCAATTTCTTACTCCAGGATATGTCAAAATGCAGAATAGCAGTTAAAGCCACACAACTCTTTTTAATGTATACTTCTGAAGCAGCCATATGTCCTAAACACCAGATTTTTAACGTTATCTCATGACCTCTAGGTAAAAAAGGTACACCTAATAGGTTTTTCAAAAACACCCTGGTGTCTAGCTCTCATTGATTTAATCGAGGGTGAAAGACAGGAATTAAATTCCAAAATAGTGATGATAGAATTCCTTTCAGACTGTCTTATATAATTGTCATATCCTGGAGAACAGGGAACCAGCTCATACTTGAAAGAATGAATGTTTTAGTTAATTTTATTATGTTACTTAACATAATGTTGCTTAGCTACCACAGTGGTATCTCAGAAAATCCTGCTTCAGGGAGCTTCACTATTTTTTTCCTTTTGAACAAACATCCAGAGCAGCACAAACCTCATTGTATATGTCATTTCAGTAATATGTTTTTGCTACCTTCCAAGATCCCTTTCATATTTTCTGTGACTTGTAGTTACAGTGCTAATTCAGACTAATGTTTTACCTCTGTGTCACTGATTCGTATTTAGAAGGGTATCCTCACCTTGTGTCTCTGTGAAGCACATGAATCAAGAGAGAACAAGCATTATATTTTACAGAGGGAGTTGTCTGCCCCCATTAACAACGTACAGGAGAGTATTTGAACTACAGACCCTAGGGCACAGCAAAACCCATGTCTCATTTCAAGTCAAGCCAAGGAGACCATATCACAGGGGAGCAGCTGGGAGTGTTCCTTAGAGCATCAAGGAGCACGATGTTAGCAAAAGCAGGATGAAAAAATTAACGAGGCATTTTGGAAAGAAGTCTGTACACTTCTGTATTTTTTCTTGAAAATGATAAGGGAATGGCTTTCATGAACAATGAGGTTCCCTCCATCTGTGGCTTTCCTTGTCAATTTTCCTCTACTGTGAAGGCAGACACATTCTTCCAGAAGAGGTAGCTAAGGAAGGTGTGTGACTCCACAACTTTCTTCAATGCTCAGTAATTTTTTCCTACTCAATCTGAGTGCAGGTCAGTCACTTCGCAATGAAGATAAAATGACGCATTGGAAAACTAAATATCGGACTAACTTGAAGAATTTGTCTCTGTGATTTTAAGGAAAGTATTAACATCCATTTGCACATTAATTAATTAATTTTAAGCAGGTAATGTAGCTACCATTGTCTGTTATACAATTTCTCCCCAAAATGCATATAAACGCTACCCACCCACAAAAAAAAACCCAATCTCAAAGAAAATACCCTCCACCTGGATGAAATACATTACACCTTTAACAAGTCATACTGTCTGGTGAAATGATAAAACAGATGTGTTGCAGAAAAAGGAGTTATCTATCCTTTCCCCTGAATTCCACATATCTCATTCAGAGAGTTTGCTTTTGGTGCATGGGACTGAATCAGGTTTTGAACATTTTGTTCATTATAACCTCACACTGAATCCATCTCCCTCCCCAAAAATAGTAATAGTGGTAACAACAACAACAACAACAACAACAACAACAACAACAGCAACAATAATAATAGTAACACTACCCATCAAAAAATAACCCCAGTTAAAATTTAAAAGAGCAATTAATGTTAAACTTTAAAAGCCCCAAAGCTTACTTTGGTCAAGAAGCCAATAAAACACCTTTATTTTCCTGAAGGAAAGCATATCTTTAGCACTCCAAATGAGAGGATCCTTTTTCAACAGTCACTTTGTGGTCAATGTTACTAAAGAAATCACGAGATCACTCCAACAGCTCGTTATACTCTGGTAATGTGGCAATCCCCATGAGTTCCTGCATGCAATAAAATTCTGGATGGTGAGTCTGCTAGATTAACTGTACACACTAATCCAGACCACCTCTTTGGATTTCCAAGAAGCAGGGCACTGTTTTTGTCATCACCATTAGCCTAACCAAAGCAGGACACTTCTATACTTCCTCTCCATACTCACTGCTTTCCCTCTGTACTACTGCTCAGCTCTTTGCATTTTCTATTCATATGAACTGCAGATTAGGGTAATTTTGCACTAGGTAGTCAATTTATTTCTCAATTTTTAATGGAGCAAATATAGCTAATTAATTTAAAAAAACTCTCAGATCAATTACAAACCAATGGATGAAAAACATTAATCTGATTCTGCAGCAGTACTGGAAGTGTTACTGCCAGCAAATATCCTCTGTTATTGTACCAGAATTTTATGGTGAGGAGTATAG